AAGTGAACAGAAGGATACAATTTTTCTTTTTTAAAAAGACCTCTATAAACATTCACACATATTTTATGAGAGAAAAGCATGGAAGAATACACATACACCAAACTGCCAATATCAGTTTCCTCAGTAATAGGGGTGGAGGGATGAGATAATACAATAGTCTAACTTCATCACTTTATTTAGCTTTTTAACATAGTATATATTACTTTGTATTTTGAAAGGTAAGACCAATAAATTATTACCATACACGTGTATATGCATGTGTATATATATGTACATATACATGTATGTGTGTGTGTGTATATATATATATATAGAGAGAGAGAGAGAGAGAGACAGAGAGACAGAGAGGACAAATACATAAGCACATACACAAACAGCATGCTAATCCTCCACATATCAAAAGAAAAAGGTAAATCTACTTCTGAGAGACTGAAATGTTTAAAAAAATAAAAATGAAATAAAATCAATAGTTACAGAGACTAGAGAGGAAGAAAGAGAATCTAATTATATCCTATTCAGTGTCTCTTAAGGCAGAAGGGAAATACATCTAAATAGTTTAAAACCTTAAGGTAGAAGGCATTCCTAGCCTGGCACTGTGACTGGCACATGTCAACCATTGGTGATAGACTGTGTCCCTGTCCCTTTGCAATGTGACTTGCAGCCCCTACCCCAAGAGACAGTGTCTATTTCCTCGCCCCCTGAATCTGGCCTGGCCTCATGACTTGCTTGACCAATAAAATGATCCTATGACTGCCAGAGCTAGGGTAAGGGGCTTCGTAGTTTCTGCTTTTGCTCTCTTGGAAAGGTTCTGCCGTTAAGAAAAGAAGCCTAGTCTAGCTTATTGGAGAACAAGAGGCTGTGAGGACAACCTAGACCAACAAGTCCCAGTCAACGGCCAGACACTTGATTGAGGCCATTAAGCCCATCCAGCCAGGATCCTATTCTAGGCTCTCTTCTCCACCAACTTAACATTCAACCCTTTAGTACTTTCAACCTCTCCTGTGACTTAAACTATAAACCATATGCTGAATGTTAAGTCAGTAATTCACCTCTGAAGTCATCAGATCCATACATCCAAATGTCTTTTGGACACCGACATTTGGATGGTCACAGGTATATCAAATTTAACCAGCCCAAAACAAAACCAACCCACGCTCTTCTTCCTACAAATCTATCTTGATGAATAATATCCTCAACCATCTAGTTGTTGAAACCAAAAAAACTTCCATTCCCTTCCTCCCTGCATATCCAGCAGGTCACAAGCCCTATTGATCCTACTTATTTAGTATCTCTGGAATCCTTCCCTTCTCTCCATTTGACTGCTACTACCATAATCATTTCTTACTTAGGTAACTACCAAATCCTCACAACTGGTTACCCTGACTCCAGTCCTACTTTTTCCTCCACACTAAAGCCAGGGAGATCTAAAGCTTAAACCTTATCAATCTCATCATGTCACTCACTCCCCTAACTTACAATCCTAGAATTCCCATAGCTTCAGGATAAAATCTAAACTTAGCTTGCAATATGAAGCCCTTTATGATCCTTGACTCTCTCACCAGGTTCTCCCTTCTCCCATTCCAGTCACCATCAACACACACACACGTACACTCACACACCCTACATACAATGATAACCACAATGAACTGCTTCGTAGTTTTCTGAATGTGACATGCATTTTCTGGCTCTGTTCCTTTATACAGTCTTCTCCCTCAGCCTAGACAGCCTTTCCTGTCCTCTTTGCCAAGCCAAAATCTATACAAACAACAAGACTAAATTCAGGTATCGCTTTAATTACTTCATCTTTTTAAAACTTTTTAAAATTTATTTTTATTGATTTCAGAGAGGAAGGGAGAGGGAGAGAGCGAGAGAAACATCAATGATGAGAGAGAATAACTAATTGGCTGCCTCCTGCACACCCCACACTGGGGGTCTAGCTTGCAACCCAGACATGTGCCCTGACCAGGAATCAAACCATGACCTCCTGGTTCATAGGATGATGCTCAACCACCGAGTCACACCAGCCAGGCTACTTTATCATTTTTTACACGCCACCCTACAACCCCAAATAATTTAGATTAGGCTCCCTTAACTGTGAGTTCCCTAAGCATTATGTGCTTACCTAGAGAACATCATTTAACACACTGAATTCATACATTGGAGACAAGGCATTCAAAGAGAGAGTGAGCAGAGTCCAACTACAGCCAGTGATGAACAGTTAAGAACTGAGATCAAATTCCTAAGCTGAAAGCATGTTATACTGGATCTTTAAAAGCCTAGCAGAGAATTAATTACTTGATGCCAACAAAAAACAAGATTTTTTTGAGAGGTGTGACTGAGTTACAGCATGGCTGGAAGTAGAAAGTAATTATGTAGTCCTAGTGCCTTTTAATAAAAGGGGAAACTAAGCCCCAGGAAAGTGACTTGCTCATAATTTCTTTAAAATTGTAGCTTCAGAATATGAATCTGCAACAGTTCTTGGAATGCATGTGGGACAGGGAGAGGCCGGGATCACAGAAGCCACCTGAGTATCATGTCAGTTGTCTAGCACAGCATCACCCAATAGAAACTTCTGCAATGATGGAAATGCTTCATTTCTGCACTTGTCCAATAAGGTAGCAACTACCCACATATGACTACTGAGCATTTAAATTTTAAATTTAATTTAAATCTAATTTGCCATGCATGGCTATTGTATTAGGTCTAATGCATTTCATGTTCATAAAGGAATGGCTTGAAAAACAATCTACTTCTAAGAGGAGAGACTGAAAATTCACTACGAATAATTAGAAGACTGGTTAGTATAACATTCTCTTACCTCATCGTAGCTCGCAGTTCTGTCAATCCGGTGAATAATATCGATATTCACATTCCCCAATCGTTCAGCAAATGTTAGAAACTGCAAGGGAGCGAGGGAGCATATTTAAGATACATCATCATTTAACACTTATCAAGATAAGCCTACTCAGGAACTATCACTACATATAATGGTACCCTTCACACTTGCAATCTCAGACTGGTATTTTCCGTCAATCATAAAATTGTATAATGGAGTTTTGAAACTAAAAGTAGATTATCACTGATGAATCAAAAGTGTAAAAACACACGGAAAGACAGAGCCTTAAACAAATGCACTGCGATACTATACAAAGGTAATAATAGGTCTATGAACATATTTGCATAAGTTCTGTCAATTGTCATTTCAAATAAAATTCCCATGCTAGGTTGTGGTGGACCGGTGATAGCTGGCGATGCGGCCTTGCTAGATCTACTGTTAGGTTTTACAGGTACCCGGCTAGGTCGTTGTAATAACCGTGTTTTTAAGCATATAAACCTAGGTTGTATCACATAATAAAGGAACTCTCAGGGGACAGAGGAAGTGGGGTAGCGGCCACTGGCTGGAAATCACTGAGTCTCCCACTGGCCCGCCCCCTACTTTGGCCTTTTAAAGATAAAACAGCAAAGGAGAACAGCTCCTAAGGCAGTGGTTCTCAACCTTCCTAATGCCGCGACCCTTTAATACAGTTCCTCATGTCGTGGTGACCCCCAGCCATAAAATTATTTTCGTTGCTACTTCATAACTATAATTTTGCTACTGTTATGAATCATCATGTAAGTACCTGATATGAAGGATGTATTTTCATTGTTACAAATTGAACATAATTAAAGCATAGTGATTAATCACAAAAACAATATGTAATTATATATTTGTTTTCCGATGGTCTTAGACGACCCCCAAAGGGGTCGCGACCCACAGGTTGAGGACCTAAGGAATTCGCCTGTCAGAGTGAGTTTAACTCCGGCGGAAGGGGCATACCCAAGCACTCCGGCCCCACAAACCACGGGCGAAATTAGCTGCCAGACTTCTTTCTCCGCCCCATGTTTACTACACACAGAGAGCCCCCCTCTTTTGCTGGAGCCTCTGGGCAAGTGACTCAGGAGAGGCCCAGAACCCTGCGGCCCCCGGATCCCGCTCAGGGCCAACTCCGCGGCTGGGATTCCAGCGGCCCCGGCCCCCGGCCCCTCGCTTACACGGTGTGTGTTCTCCGTCTTGTGGGAAACGGGCTTTGGCTTCATGACGGCGGGGCGGCGGCGGCCCACGAGGGCCCGGGGAGAGGTCGGAGGGATGCAACAGAAGGGAACGAGGGGAAACTCGTTGACACACTTGCGCTCTCGGATCCCCAGGTGTCCAAACTCTTTCTCACGTGCTACAGCCGCGCCTGGGCGCCGGCATGTTGGAAACGGGGAGGGGCCTGGGAGGGTCACGTGGGCGGAAGGAGGGGACGGAGCAGGCGCAGCCTCGCGGGAGCCGGGGACGGGGAGGCCCCGGCTGGTGGGTAGGTCGGTGGAATTCTTTTTACTCCTTTTAGTAAAGGTATATAAGGAAAATGTGTATTTTTTATTACAAAGAAACCGTGTATAACATTATCAGCTCACACTCACCACCGCTTAGTATGTATCCTGCACCCTGCGAAGTTCTTCACGCTCATAATTTCACAGGAGAGCGCGAATCAGGAACCTTTGTCTAGAAATATGTGGTAAAGTTGTATTCAAGGTTCCCAGGGTTTGCAAACAGAAAATACAGCTAGGCAAAAACCAGAGTATTCTGAAAAAGGAAAGAAAAGCTGGGGGTTCTTATGGTTTAAATTGTATTCTTGAGAAGGATCAGTCCTGCATCCTTAGCCTCTGGATTGATGCAAGATGATACACCTGTGATGACCCCTGGTCTGGATCTGTGTCCATTCTTTCCTGAATCCCTCAGGGGGGTAATCAGAGGGTTATCCGAGGTCTGTGGTATATGCAGGCATTGACACAGCCTTTCCCCCTTTCTCCAACTACTTGATTTTCGCAATGTAGCAGCTTCACTATAGTGACTCCATTTTATTTCTTCGCTCAGTTCCTCAAGCACTGTGAATGCTGCATGAATATAAATGAGGTACCTATTTTTCAGCCCCTTTGGCATATGAAGAAAGGAAGGTAAGCGCAGTCTTGCAGAGGTCGCTCAGCTCCAAAGTCTGATATTCCTTTTTTTGTTGTTGTTAAATTTATCTTTATTGTTGAGAGTATTACAAATGTCCCTCTTTTTTTCTCCTACGGACCCCTTCATCCCTGTACCTCTTCGCGGAGGCCTTCATCATACTATTGTCTGTGTCCAGGGGCTCTGCATATATGCATATAAGGTCCCTGGTTAATCATTTCCTAAAGTTTGATATTCTTGACTTGGAGGTTTTTAAAGACTTTAGCATCCATCATCTCTGATCCTGTGGCAGCCTTGTGAGGTAAGCAGGGTAGATGTAATTTCCTATGATGAACAATCAGTGGTCGCCAGGAAGTTGATACTCTACCAAGAAGTGAAAAATAGAAATTTTAAATTTAAAAAAAACTTATAATTTCATGCACAGCCATTAACATTTTGGTGTTTTCCCCGTCACTCTAATATCATGTTGTTAAATATAATTGTACAAACAGTTGTGTGTGAATACTGTATATATATTTTTTCACTGATTCATTGGAATATTTTTTGAGAGTCTACTATGGCCATGCATTGTTCTATGAGCTGAACAACACAGACAATAGGAATATTAATAATAATAATTCTGTATG